ATTTTTCACAAAGCTGGAAATATTGTAAGAAAATTAACTTTTCAGCTTCTATAGCATCCTGCACTGTGCTGCTTCTGGGAATTTTAAGTTGAAGGAACAGTGTGAGTCTAGGCACATTCACTAAAATGATCCCTTCCTTATAAAAATGTTAAAATACACACATAGTACCCATAAAGAATCTCACAGAATATCCATAAATAACACCTCAGAGGCTGTCACATTCTGTTTCTGTTAAATTTCTCCATCACTTTCACAAAACAGGAAAAGAGACCTACCAAAAGAACACTTATTCAACAGTTAGGACTCTATCTAAAAAGAGCTACAGACTTATAATGTTATCCGACTATAGATCTGATGCCTCATGTGCAGTGCTTTCTGTCACAAGATTACAAATATTTTCTCATGCAGCTTATGAAATAAAAACTAAGCCACAAACACTACTCACTGAAGAAAAATTGAATGCAAATAACTTCAAAAATACAGGTGAATCCATCTCACATCAGTATATTTGGGAGTAGGTCAAATTATTCTAGCATGTCTGAAAAATCTGCATGGGTATCACTACAGTTTTTGAAGTACATAACTAGGTAAAACCATGAATGACCTTTGGCCTTCCCCATTTTGCTAAGTTGCAGAAATTCACTTCTGTCTGGGACCTAACTGTTACCAGCCTGAACAGTTAAAAAAAAAGAAAAAAAAAAAAAGGAGCACTTGTACAGCCTCAGCTGAAAGCCCTCAAGATGCAGTAAAAGCAGGTGTTAATTATATCTAAGATACAAAGCTTGCATACCCTGAACACAATCTCAGCAAGGATTATTTTATTTTATCCTGTTATCTCGCACATAAAGTGACCACACAAATTTGAGTGTGAATAACACACCCTGAGTGTGAAGCCTGGCTTTGTCCTTCTTTAGGGCTTCACTGTGGAAACCATCCTAATGGCAGATATCAGTAAGTTTACTCATGGAAGTCCAAAATCCACCCCAGACGATAAGACCTGACCTAGGGAGAACACACATTTGGGCTATGCTGCTAAAAGAGGCTGAGCACTCTCTATTCCCATCATCTTTGATCATGTATCAGTACTTTACAGGCTAAGATTAATGAAGCCTTTAGGGAAGGTTTTGCAGGAAAATTACATTGGGAAATACTGGTGGAGGATCAGTTTTGCTGATATATAGAACTTTCAATTTTTTATTAAAAATGATGGGTACATGGTACAAACCCAGTGTGCAGCAGTGATGTGCACTTTCATTTCTGAAGAACTACCATACACAAACAAATTGAATAGAAAACCTCAAAATGATTGTTTTTAAGACTAACAAGAACTACACACAGCTAACTCCCCACGCACCTACCTGTCTTTCATCCCTGTAGTAGTATCTAAGCATCATATACTTGTGAAGAAGCAACAGCAGCAAGAACTTCCATGAAATGTTTCAATGGGCAAAATTTTCCAAACAAATGCTTCTCCAATCAAAACAAAATGATGGCAGAGAACTGGCAATGATGATCAAATCGCAGTCTTCTACTGTTGTCTTTTTCCCATGCATAACCTCAAAACACTTAGTATCACGAATTATAATTGCTAATTATTCCCACTATGAAACAAGAAGTACTAAAAAAATAGCACAGCAAACAGAGTGAATACACATTTCTTGCTTGATTCATATGAATTTTCTTAAATAATTACAGATCAGAAGAAAAGAGTCAAGTTAACTATGACCAGTTACTTATATTTTTTTTGTAGCATGTGCTAATTGAGAAAAAAAAATAATGTTTTGTTTGCTTCTCTTCTTTTTGAACTTGAACATTCCTCAGTTGTAAGCAAGGAAGACCTAACAATTCACACTTAGGAACAAAGTATTTTTGTGATTAGAAAAACGCAGTGTCTGCATATTTAGCATATATGTACACCACATTCTCTTCAATAAATTAAAGAAAACCACACAGACATAGCGAATATAATCTTTGGCTGAACTAATTTTCAGAATATAAAATAACTAATTAAGGCAAAGGAGGCTGCTAGAAAACTTGAGCGCTTGTTTAACAATAGAGCAGTAGGGAATGGACCGCCACTGTCGCTGATAACA